TTTTTTTGAAAATTCTTTGTGCTATAAATTCTTTATCTATTTTATATCAACTAAATTTAAAAAATGATACGGCGCGAAGCGCGTGTCAGTTAACTAGGGGAGAAATTCAAAAATAGCAAGATTTACAAGTGGTCGTTCAAAAATAGCCCAGTTTCAAAAGTAATCGATATTTAGCCACTTTTCACGTAAAGATAATCTGAGCAAAAACACTGTTCAAAACCCGGAAAATACGCCAGTATATTATGCTGGAGTTCCAGCATAAGTATACTTGAACTCCAGCATATTATACTGAAGTTCCAGAATAAGTATGTTGGAACTCCAGCATAATATGATGGAGTTCCAGCATAAGTACACTAGAACTCCAGCATAATATACTGGAGTTCCAGCAAAGTATACCGGTCCAGTATAATATGCTGGAAGTTCATACACAAGTGCTCGAATCTCCAGCATATTATGCTGGACCTTTTCGTGTGTTGGAGTTCCAGCATAATATGCTGGAAGTTCATACACAGGTGCACCGCACTCCAGTATATTATGCTGGACCAGTCTCTGTTACAGCAAAATAGTGGCAATTTTTCATTGACTTGGTAAATGCTGGCTATTTTTGAATGACCAGTCCAAAAACTGGCTAGACCGTGCTATTTTTACGTTAACTAGTTACACCATAATACCCAACCCAAGGCCCATTAATTGTAGGTTCAGAATACTATATTAGTTAAAATTCAATTAATTTAGTTCAAAATAAGTCTCATTTTAGCCAAATCAATATAGTTCGAAATAAACTGTCACGTTAGGAACCTAAATCCACATCAATTTTTTCTTTCAATCTACCATTGCTCTAATAAATGATCTAAAAAGTCTCAAGTTGTTATAAATAGAATTTTATTTATGGTGAATGTCTATATTTAGATATTAGAGAGATTCTAGGGTTTATTACTTGGTGGCTAAGTCACCCTCTCCCTATAAATAGAGGGTTCTATTCCATTGTAATTGACCCCAAATCAATAAGAATTATCTCTCCCTACTTTTCTCCGCAATACTCTTCTTCTTTTATTGTTCATAACACGTTATCAGCACGAGACTCTAACCAATTGAGTAGAAGCTTTGGGATTGAGCATAATGATTGTCAATTGTTCCATAAACTTCCTTCATGATTAAATTCTGGATTTAAGGTATGTATTTTACCGTATTTTTCTCTTTTAATCTATAATTTGATTTTAAATACAAGAAAAGATAATAAATTTTGATTATAAATCTAATGGAGTTAGTAAGAAATTATAACCACTCGAAGAGGTAAAATTTCTATATCTTGCCATGATCAAAGTCATGTATGATTGTGAGTGCAAGAAGTGGAAACTCGTCCCATTGAATTTGCTTCATTCTCATTCCCTTAAGAGAATGTGATAGCAATATGTAATAAGTATGAAAGAAGATAAAATTATTACCGTGAAGGTATCAATGAATGTGGACGTGGCAATAGACGAAATTATAATCGTCATCATTGTGGTAACGAGAATAATAAGGATTCTCAAGATAGTCTTTCACTCTATGAAAGTTAATGTTTGTCATCGATTTGACATAAGATTCCATAAAGCACATACAGATGAATATGGTCCATTCATGATATGAATGTGACAACATCTGATTTATTAATACATATTCATTCTTGGAAGAATATGAACGTGCTAGTGGTAGTGAATATACCACACTCACCTCTAGAAGGAGGTTTGAGATGATATAAGAAATCAATGTCATTATTATGGCATGAATGTCATTGGTCACGTACCTATTGTACGCCAAAATATTTTGGCAATGTGATTATTAAAGGACAACAATAATGCAAGAAACATATCTCGCATATAATTTTGACCATGACCATAATGGTATAACTTTCTCCTTAAAAGATATATTCACCATATGGATGTTGATGAATATGTGATAGTATAAAATTAATTGAGAACTCTACAAAAGCCAATTATACTATTTTGGAGAAACACAATTGATTACCAATAAGGTATTGTGTTGTAGTGAGTCTCAAAGAAACTTATTCAGTTTCCAAAGTATAGCGAAAATGGTTGGTATATTGAGACTATAAATAAAGGAAAGATTTAATATCTTCTATTACTAACTTGTAGCGGGGTAATATGTATGTGAAAAGCTACCCGCTTTATTCTCCAGTTTGTACTACATAAACAAAAGAATGCCACAATAAAGAGAAGTTTATTGATATAAAAATCCATATCATAAAAAACTTGGAGTTTATTGATAATTGCACACGTCATGGTGTAAATCTGAAGTTTATCAATATTGATAATTTATTCAGTTGGCATAATTGGTTTACCCATATCAGTTTAAGTATGATGTGAAAAAATAAAAGAGAATTCACATGGGTAAATATTAAAGAACTAGAAAGTTCTTTACAAATTCTCTTATGTTGGTTGTTCTCATTAATTAATATACCAACTAAAATTGGGATTGAATCCCATGAATGCTGGAAATATCAAAGGTGAATATGGGCCCACTCACCTGCCATGTATACCACATAAGATGCATCTATGAGATGGTTAAATGTGCGATTATTAATAACCCGCAACATGGTATTTGCGAGGTAACTTGCTCAATAATTTAATTTCGAGCATAATTTCCAGATTTTCTATTCAAGAAGTTCATCTTGATAAGTTAGTTTACATCACAGTTGGTTTAGCAAAATGATTTATTAAGTGCCTCTACTTAATAGCTAAACAATTGCTTATGAGAATAAAGTTATCTATATCAGTTTGATATACGTTATATACGAAAGTATATTATTTTCTCCCTCACAAGTGGTTCAGGGTCAGGAACCAAATAATTCCATCTTATTATTATTGATGTGCGGTGTATATTTTTATTAGCACGTAACGCACAAAGGTGGATTCTCAAAGTTGAGGTAACAAGTTAATTTTTCTAACATGAGGGGGAGACACGATAAACAGTTGAGAAAAAGTTACGTGGAATGAATTATCATTTGTACATCTAGATCCTCGAATAAGATAATATGAACTTGAAGTTCATAAAAGAATAATTCATTTGCAATATATTGCAAAGCATGTCAAACGCATTTGCTGGTCCAAAAAAAGTAACTATATCTCACTGCAAATGCTCCTATTGGAATAAGTCCTAGAAGGACAAAGTCTATGGTACGCTTAAAGCGTATAGACAAATCGGTTTCAAATAAACTTCTTGATAAAGAAGATGAGCAAATGATCAAAATGATCATAATAAAGGAGGCAAGTGATCTAGAAGATCACATGACATAACACTTCATAAAATCTCATGAGAGATTCAGGTACCTGAATACATGAATGAAGAGATCTCTATGTTATGTCTTTATGAAAAATAAGGAGGTTGGAACCGATATAAAATGTTTGTCGACGACATCTATAATAACGCTAAATATATATGAGGATCTTAAGTCTGAAGAAACAATTCGAATAGATTTGGTTTCATATGAAAGACATGTAGTTTTGAACATGTAGTTCAAACACTTGAAAGTATAAAGTCAATGGTATGTGCAATCAGTTTTCGATATCTTATATGTCTAGCATGACATGAAAACTTGATATGCATCTAAAGTCTATTATATGGCTTATATGACTTAAAAATCCTTGAAGGATTTAAATTGCTTAAAGCATATAGAATTCATGGTCATGAATTACTATATCCTAAATGTAATCTGTGCACATATGTATCTTGCTATAATTGTAAGCATGATAATATGATAGCAAGAGTTTTCACCCCTATGTGAAGATATTGAAATGATGATTCCAACAAGATCATATGAAGACAATACATCTATCAGGGATGATGATTTCAAGGTGAAACAAATTCGTTGAAGTTAATATGGCTGATATTGTTTATCAAATATCTATCAACGATCTTTTCAAAATGGTGCACAAGATTGGGATGCGAAGGCTCAAGGATGTGAATTGATGCTCTCATCAGGGGGAGTTAATGCGCATTGCACTCTTTTTTCCTTACAAGGTTTTGTCCCACTGGGTTTTCCTTGCAAGGTTTTTAACGAGGCAACCAAAAGGCGTATTACTAAACAAGTGTACTCTTTTTCCTTCACTAGAACTTTTTTCCCACTGGGTTTTATTTTTGTTAGGGTTTTAACGAGGCATATTATCTGTTGAATAGACATTCAAGGGGGAGTGTTATAAATAGAATTTTATTTATGGTGAATGTCTATATTTAGATTTTAGAGAGATTCTAGGGTTTATTACTTGGTGGCTAATAGCCCGTTTGGCCAAGCTGCAAAAATAAGCTTATTTTGAGAAGTGTTTTTCTTCAAAAGTACTTTTCTCAAAAGTACTTTTGGTGAGAAGCAGTTTGTGTTTGGCTAATTAGTTTGAAAAGCACTTCTGAACAACAATTAGTGTTTGGCCAAGCTTTAAAAAACTGCTTCTAAGTGTATTTTTCTCAAAAGTGCTTCTCAAAAAAGTGCTTCTCAAAAAAGTGCTTTTGGAGAGAAGCTACTTTTTTCTGCTTTTCCAAAACTGCTTCTGCTTCTCCTCAAAAGCACTTTTTTTCCTTCCAAAAGCTTGGCCAAACACCTCAATTTTTGGCCAAAAGTGCTTTTGGCAAAAAAAAAAGCACTTTTGGCCAAAAAAGAAGCTTGGCAAAACAGGCTATAAGTCACCTTCTCCCTCTAAATAGAGCCTCTAAATAGAGGGTTATATTCCACTGTAATTGACCCCAAATCAATAAGAATTCTCTCTCCCTACTTTTCTCCGTAATAATCTTTTCTTCTTTTATTGTTCATAACATAAGTGAGATAAATAATAATTTGCCGAGTGCTAAAGGGTAATTTAATCAAGTGACTCTTACGATGAATATTATTTAATAATTTTCTTGATGGGTTTATCAAAGTTTAATCGAAAATTAATTTTGGACCAGAAACAGTATGTAATTACAGACACAGTAATTATACTATATAGTCTAACAATTACATAACAATGGTGAAAAAAATAATACTACTCCATTACATACCAATGTCCTAACACAGTATTTGCTTATCTGTCCAACAAATCGGTGTCTGAAAATATCGAAATTGGCGCCGCTTTTCCCTGCTCTCTCCCTACAACCCCATTTCTTTTCTTCTGAAAGTTGTCAACCCAGATTTGAAATCCCAAATTCCAAAAGGGAAAATACAAACCTAATAAAGGGTTCACCTTTTGTTAATTTGATTTTCTTTTCACCATGTCTATGCGTAGGAGAACCTTGCTTAAAGTCATCGTCCTCGGCGATAGTGGGTACGTTCCTTTTTTCCTCTTTTCTCTCTCTTTTTATTTTTTCATTTTGAGAAATTTCTCATCCCAGGACTATTCATTTGGAAGAAATTTGGAGTATATAATGCTAATTTAATTTCTCTTTTTTATCTGTTTTCAGGGTTGGTAAAACGTCATTAATGAATCAGTATCCTTCTCTACCACATTCCCTAATTATTGGAGGTCAAGATTTTTTTTTTTTAAATTTACGAATTGGGTATTTCGATTTTAATCAATTTTCTATTAGTAGCTTCAATTTTACAGTTAACTTAGTATTAGTCTTTTTTTTTTGGCATTGCAAATACCTATAAGTAATTACTCTCTCTATCAGCTTGTTTGACTGGGCACAGATCATTAAGGTAAATTAAAGTTAAATTTTTTTAAATATAGAAAGGTTTTTTTTTTTTTTCGAGACATACTAAAAGGGAAAGAGTATCACATAAATTGGGACAGAGGGAGTATTGTTTTAGGCTCTTTTGTTTATACCGTCTATTTGTTGTGTTCACTGTTTATGGGTGGATTTGTGTTTTCTAAAAGTATTTGGACATGTGGGATCTTTGACCAATAGCAAAGATATGTTCACAAGAAGTTCAGCCAGCAATATAAAGCTACAATTGGAGCTGATTTCGTGACAAAGGAGCTTCAAATTGATGACAGGCTTGTAACTCTCCAAGTGAGTTTCTTGGTTATTTATATGTGAAAAATATTCTGATGTTTACGTGCTTTTAAATGCATAAGAGTAGCTGAACCATTTTTGGGGATTATGTATTTGCTGAATGTGTTTGTGTTCTTGTTTGGTAGATATGGGATACAGCTGGCCAAGAGAGATTTCAGAGTCTTGGAGTTGCATTCTATAGAGGTGCAGATTGCTGTGTTTTGGTCTATGATGTCAATGTTATGAGATCCTTTGATAACCTTGACAATTGGCATGAAGAATTTCTCAAACAGGTCGAGTGATTATTCTTCGTGGATTCATTTGTCTCAGTGGTTTTTTCTTGTTCAGTGAATTAGGATTTCTTGACTGCTTTATACATTGCTAAGAGTCATGTTATCGACTAGTAGGCAAACACTTCTGAGATGATTAGGATGGACATTTCTTCCTTGAATCCCGGTGGAGGTTATTTTTTGTGGTCCAACTAGGGCTAGAACTGATCTTAAGTGCATTGTTTGTTCTGTTGGTATATGGAACTCATGAGCAACTTATAATCAAAAGACCAAGAAATAAAGGCATACCTATTTAGGAATTGAACTGGGTGTTGCAGAGATTAAACTAGTTATCTGTTAGTAGAAATGCCCTCCATCTTCTATTCTCCACATCCTCTTTTGTTTAAAGCATCAAGCAGACTTGTGAACCAATTGAAGAGAGAAAATGAGAACAGAAAGAGCGTTAAGTTTGCCATCTGGTTTGTTGTTGGTGCATCAAAGTCTTATTAGGCTGCTTCAGTTGGTGTACTACCCAAATTCTTCCGTCTAAGTGGGAACATGTACATGAAGAATGTGCAAGTCTGCAAGATGATTGGAAAAATTGACAGAAGAAGGATTTACAGTCAAAATATAATCATGTATTTAATGCTTAAACCTTGCTGTTAGAAGATGAAGAGAGTCAAAATTGTACAAAACCAACAAAAGGACTAGCTGCTTTCCCTTCATATATCTGTCTGTAAAAATCAGAAATGGACATTAGGAAATAAGGCTTCATTTTGGTTGTGTTTATATGTAGAAATGAGAATACACGAATATGCAAACATATAATTATAAAAACCAAACAGTATAGTGCAGCATTTTGTTTAATGATCTCCCTGCAGATGAATCGATGTGCCATGTCTCTGAATTTGGTCGGTTATATGAATTCTTATAGTCCATGTTGCTCCATTTTAAGCTCATCTCCGTCCTATATTATGTAAATTAAAAATAAAAAGCACTAGAAGTTATCCATATTTTCTACTAGGCATTAATCTGACTCCTAGACAATAATGAACCTAAAGTAATCATACTAACATGATTAAGAGCCTGTTTGGATGGGCTTAAAAGCTGGTCAAATCAGCTTTTAAGCCCCTTTTAACTGATGGAGGTGTTTGGCAACCAAAAAAATAGCTTAAAAAAAGTTAAAATCTGCTTAAGAAAAGCCAAAACCAAGAAGTTGGGTAAACCCAACTTTTTTTATATTGGCTTAAAAGCCATATTACTTTGACCAAAGATTTTACTTTCTTATCCATTATAAGTTTTCGTAATACCCAAATTACCCTCAGTCAAATAAAAATCTAAAACTTCCTATTTCTCTATCTTTTTTGCACTTTAGAACACAGCAGTGCACCTTCTTTCCTTTTCCTCTTCCTCTCCGTTTCATCTTCATTTTTCTGCATTTTTGGTAAGTACTGTTCATGCCAAAATCCACTCTAAATCTCAAAGTTAACTCAAAAAACAAAGAGAAAGCTTTGGAAAAGAAAGAGCAAGATCTGTAAATTTTAAAAAAGATATGCAAAAAGAAAAAAAAAAACAGAACATAGCAAATCCTTTGAACTTGACAACAACATTGTCACTAGTTGCTGCTAGATTCTCTAAAGAATTTGAGTTTTTAGGTTTTGAGGTTGGCCACCAATCAAGCCTAAAACTGAATAAAAATAATCAATTAAATTAAATATAAATTATTTTTTATTTGAATTAACTCATAATTAAGGTTATTTCTGTCTTTTAACAGAAAAAAGTACTTGCTAGCACTTGTTTACCAAACACTTCAACAACTTTTTTTAAGTTTCAGCACTTTTATCCAAACATGTAACTACTTATTTATAAAACAAGTTCCAGCACTTGTAAAGTGCTTTTAAGCACTTAACTTAAAAGCCATTTTTTTAAGCCAATCCAAACGGACTCTAAAACTTAATCCCAACTCATTAATATCACCTATATATATATATATATATATATATATATATATATATATATATATATATCTTCCATCGTGCCTTATATTTTACTAGGCCCGCATGTTTTACAAGAGAAATTAGTTTTAAGCCTAACATTGAGTATTTTATAGAAGTAGACGATTCCTGCAATTTCTTTCCTGTGTAAGATCCCAACAAGTAAAGGCTTGGGATTATGCTGTGTATCTAAAGAGTTTTCACATATGGTCTATATGTTCAGATCTTAATTGGACTTCTTCTGGTGTAACATTGGAATGTATTATCATTTCGTCATGCAAATATTGTGTTGGTGATTGTTGAATTAAGACTAGCTCTGTTCCATGTTAACCGACAGAATTTGTTGATATGCAGGCTAATCCACCAGACCCTAAAACATTTCCTTTCATATTACTGGGGAACAAGATTGACATAGATGGTGGAAATAGCAGAGTGGTAAGACAATCGTAGTGCTAAAGTTTTCAAGTTATGGTCTTCGGATTCTATGAGAGTTTTCGTTTTCATATTCTGTGCGACATTTGTAATTGATTTATCTTTTGCATGCTGAACAGGTTTCTGAGAAGAAAGCAAAGGAATGGTGTGCTTCAAAAGGGATACCTTACTTTGAGACATCAGCAAAAGAGGATATAAATGTTGATGCTGCATTCTTGTCTATTGCAAAAACTGCTTTGGCCAATGAACACGAGCAAGATATGTGAGTATATGTGAATTTGAATATAAACAAAGCATTGTTTGTTGGTTATTGCTTGTATGAGATATGATGCTTATATACCTATAAACTTAGCGGTAACAATAAGATGAGCTAGCTTAAGTAATGAGAGCCCAACGATAAAAAAAGGGCAGCCCGATGCACTAAGCTCCCGCTATGCGCGGGGTCCGGGGAAGGGCCGGACCACAAGGGTCTATTGTATGTCAAGCATATTTATTCTAACATATGACCCCTTGAAAGTAGAATGTTTTCTAGCGGACTAGATGAAACTAACATCTAACATTAAATGTTTGTTGATCTTGGCAAAGATGTTTGTTTGGTTTTTGTTTTCTCAAAAAGTTTTTAGAAGAAAAAGAGGAAACCATGTAAAAAAAAACCTTAGCCAGAAAAAAAAGGGCTAAAAGTCGTTTTTAGATCAAGGTAAACATTGCAACATTGAAAAAACAACTACCTTGCATGTTTTTGTTTTCTGTAATTCCAAAAAACATTTTTGAAAAGCTTCTCAAATCAACCTTTCAAAAAAATAACTGTCCAAGAGCCATCTAAAAAACTCTTTTCTTGTTACATGCAAAAGATATTACTTGAATCATAGAGCTTCCCCAAACTTTCATGTCAAGTTTATGATTACATATCTTAAAAAATGTAAGTAATATTGATGCTTCAGCAATTCTATAAATGAAGTGCTAGATTTTTAGCCCATTCAGTTTGTAGTTAGCCACTTTTGAATCGTGCAGTTTGTGTAAATTTTTAGAACCTGTTTTCAAGATTGATCTTGGAATGAAAGGGTAACCCGACAGTTCCAAGATTGAGCTTTTGAATGTTGAAATTGATTTGCTCTGGTGTGCAAAATTTTATCATCTAAGGTATCTGGATAACCAAATATATGGAAAAGTTACTGCTGAACTAGAAAGATAATTAACTGTGCACTCTCCTGCTATTTCATTCATTTGCCTTTAATGAATCGATGTGTTTAAGACACGGAGATGATTTTGAGGCAATGTGAAGTGGTGGTCTGTGGGTGTTCAACCAAAGTGCAAAAAAGTTTGTTAGAATATCAAGTGAATATGTGTGTAGATCATACACATCTAGATTCATTGTATTTGAACGAAATAAATCATATACAATATTCTATAAGATATCTTGGGTATTCTGTATTTAATCATAAAATATTTACTTACCGTGTTTGTATAAAAATTGATTACCTACCATATTATACATAGCCTAAGACTCCTAGATAAGGAGCACGTATTATGCATCGTTTATCAAGTCAATGAGAAGATTTTCTATTTTTACTTGGTATCAGAGCTTTTACAATATTGGTAGAAACTCAAATACCTTCTGCTACCGGCCACTGGTACTACCAATGCATGCCGCTCGCTGGGCAGTGTTATCTTCTTTTGTTCTTCCTTTTGGTGCCCGATGACCCTCCTCTCTCCTACAATTGGCACCCTTATCTCCAGATAGCCATTCATGCGCCATTCCTGTCTTTTAGGATTGTTTGTGCATCGGCTCATCTTTTCGGTGACTGGTGCTGCTAACTTTTATGCAACCGATGCTGTCTTTTAAACTTTGAATTTCCTCCGTAGTCTGCCCATTCAAGTTACATTGATAATATTTTGGAAATTTGCAACACCATATCTTTTTTTTGGTAATTGAGAATATATTTTTTTCCTTGTGGTGCAAGAAATACTTTCTTCCACAAAACATTTGCCAACTACTTTCTAGAGGAAAGAATTGCTGCACTGTTTCTTTTTTGGTGATTGTGCAGTTCCAATGAGATTTCGTAGTCAACTTTCCATGTTCTAAAAATAATCAGACTCAAGTTGGTTTTCCCACTTTGAGTTTGAGGGGCCATGTTGGAATACCAATTGAATGTGTCTAGATTCATACACGTCTAGATTCATTATACTTGGATAAAAAATTTATATAGAATATTCTATAGGATATCTTGGGTATTTTGTATTTAATTATTGAATATTACTTACCTTAGTAGTATAAGGATTGGTTAGCTATCATATTATATAGTCTAATATTCCTATATAAAGAGCACCTCTCGTACATCGTTAATCAATTCAATGAGAAGTTCTTTTCTATTTTCACATGGTATCTTATTGACTTGTTTAACAATGTACAAGAGATGCTCCTTATATATGAGTCGTAAGCTACCTACAATGTGGTAGGTAATCAATTCCGATACAAATAAGGTTAGTAAATATTCTATAATTAAATATCAAATAACCAAGGTATTCAATAGAATATTCTATATGATTTTCTTTATTCAAGTATAAGAAATCTAGATGTGTATGAATTTAAATACATATTCATTTGATATTCTAACATGCTCTCTCAAACTTAGAATAAGGAAAGCAACTTGCGTTTGGTTATATCAAAAACATATAATGTTGATGCCGAATACTCGCTGGATTCATGCACAATGACAAAATATAAATGCATTGTTGGAATTATTTCCTCCGCGAAGTTGTTGGTGACTGCATAATGAAAGAATGTGCTCGTTGAACTACACACAAAAAAAAAAGGATCTTTTTTCTATCACCGAAAACAAATATAGTGTTGCAAATCTCTAGGACATGGGTCGCATAAAAAGTAACAACATCTCTCGCCAGAGAAATGAATGGTGCTTGAACAATCCTAAGGAGAGGAATGACGCATAAACACTCATCTAGATGTAGGGTCACCAATTGATGGAGCGAGGAGTGTCATCAGACAATAAAAGAAAGAAGCATTGGCCAGGCAAGCAGCACTTTTGGCCGTGGTGATAGCTTCCGTAGTCTCTAGACTGTGAAGGCTCTAATACCAAGTGAAAAGAGAAGTCAATCAACAATGTACAAGAGGTGCTCCTTAGGTAGGAGTCTTAGGCTATGTACAATTATGGTAGATAATCAATCCCTATACTAATAAGGTAAGCGGATACTTAATAGTTAAATACAGACTATCCTAAGTATCATGTATCATATTCTATATGATTTTCCTTATTCAAGCAATGAACTTAGACGTGTATGAATGTGGATACATATTCACTTGATATTCTAACAGTGACCAATACCAAGAGAAATTGAAATTAGAAGTGAATATACCAGAAAGCTCGGTTTGAGTGCTTAATTAATGATAATTCTTCAGTGATCCACCTAACGCCGTCAGTATAGCCGTTTCACAAGGGTATGCGGATTTAAGTCTTAGGTGGCAGAGCTTACCATTTGACCTGATAATGTAGCTAAAAAGTCCAATCAATATGGTGAGGTTAAGCATGGTTGGGTTGTAAAGGACCAGACTTTTGATGATGACTCCAGAGAGTAGAGTCGTCAACTATTGACGTCTTCAATAGATTTTGGGCCAATGTTTTAAAAGGCGGGGGCGTGAGGCGAGGCGTAAGCCCTGAGACATGGGGCGTAAGTACCACGGATCTTTAAATTTTTCTAATTTCAAGAATTTTAAGATAGTATAAAATAAAAAATAATTATAAAAATTACGTTAAATCACAAATTATACAAATAATCTATTTTTAAAAAAAATATAAATTATAATTCAACTATGAATAATACGAAAAGTATGACATATATCATAATATGCAAATTAGCTGCAACGTCGTTACAGATCAAACATCAAAAGTAATGTATTCGATACGAAATCTTATATGTATCTCTTAAGGAGTAATGAATCTTGAAAGAATTTCGATATTATAATTTGATATTTTTCTTAAAATACTCCTTTTATTTAATATGCTTTGTATTTGAAAGAGAATTTATATAAAAACATAATTCACAATTTAAATGTGATTCTCAAGCATCGTTCATTTTTAAGTTTCAACAAGTTCATAAAGTGACACATAATTCACCATACTATACCATGATAACTAATTATTTGTAAATAGTTACTAATACTGAGCTATTAAATTAATAAGTATTGTATCTCATAAACATGAAAAAAAATATTTAGAAAAATGATTATAAAAAAAATTATGGACTAGTATATAGTAAAGACATAACAAAAGTTAATAAATAAATACTTTTTAAATGAAAGATTTATTTAAAATTAACTATCATAGCAGTCTTAGTGGATAACGTGCAATAATTTTCACTTTAATTATGACATAAAATACTCTCAACTTAATGATTTAAAATTAGAAAAAAAGTAATTTTGAATAGTCAACGATTTATTAAGAAAATTTGAGGATTTACAAAGTTAGTTACATATAATTGCATAAAGTTCTATTAGGCGAGCCCAGTACGCTGGGCGTTGGGCGTGTCCGGGGCGTAAGTCTCACGGAACTAAGCCCCACACATAAGCCCAGGGGCTTTTTACGAGTGCTCCGCCCCGGGGCGAGCCCCGGGCGAGTCCCAATTCTGCCTTTTAAAACAGAGTTTTGGGCTATACTTGTGTTGATTTGGGAGATATAACTTAGACAATGGTGACTTTGTTTGGTTCACTAATTTACCTGCCTAAAAGCCTGATGCTGAAAAATAGAGTCGATAATGTGCTATGTTCGAGTTGATTACACAGACTTAACAGATAAATTTTCTATTCACTACAGAATTTAGGATCAGAAGGAAGTGATGGACAGTAGCATCAGTTTTTCATAGATATAGTACTTCATGCTTTTATATTCTGTAGCCTTTGGCGTGCCTGCAGGATACAGATGTTCTGTGTTATCAGGGAAGCTTTAGTGGTCTATATATTTTGGTGCAATGATCGCTGCTCTACTTTCCATAAAACAAATGGAATATGTTGTGGTAGCTCAAAACTCAAGTAACTCTGACGTATGGTTCATAAAGAGTTCAAGAGCTCATAGATTTGTTGGAACGTCATTTCATCATAGGATGTTCTACTATGGTGCCTGCTGCTTCTGTAACAATGAAAGTTTAGACAGTCAATGGTTGGTTATTAGGATAAACTCCAATGAATCTTGTTAGAGTGCATTTCTAATAAGATAATATCAATTTAATCTTTGAACCTGAAAAAGTATTTCATAAGTCGGAATTAGTATATCTCTGATAATTATGACAGCAGTATGTTAAATGGTTTTCCCTGAGTTTTCTGTACAGGGCCTAGAATAATTGAGTAATAATATCCTGATTGACTATCGACTATTAATGATATAGCGACTGTGGAAGTGAAAATGCATTTTGGTAGGCCAGATAGTGAACCTACTCTATGTTCCTCATCCCTCTACATTCAACTACTGCATTTTGGCAGCTAGGGAACCTGCATATACTAAAATCTTGTGTTGTTTTCCAGATACTTCCAGGGCATTCCGGAGGCAGTTTCAGAGATGGAGCAAAGAGGTGGTTGTGCATGTTAAGGCGGATGAAGCAATTTCATTGAGTGCTATATGTAATCGCTGTTGTTGCCTATTTTTCCTGCAACAGTATCGTTACTCTCAGGCCGTAGCCATTCTTTTGTACCCATTACTACATATACTCTTCGCTTAAGATGAAATACATCTTTGTCACATTCAGATACTGGAGGTATAGGAACTCAGGAATGTCTCCTTGTATTGCAGTTGGCTCTGAGAAAGATTGTAATTGTGCATTTTGCCGTACCCTGTGTGGTTGGATGTTATTGTATACACTGAAAACTGTATTTTTCTACATCTACGTATAACAATGAGTTGGATTGGTAACTGTTACTGTGCTTCATTCCATGAACTTACAGTTAGGCGAAATTATTAGTTATGCAAAAAAATTGCTGTTGGCTTCATGCATGGAGCGGATGAAAAATTACTATCTTTTCTTTTTGAAGCTCAGGTATGCAGAAGTAGCACCAGATTGTGTAAGTTTACAGGAGACTTAAATGAATCATATGATACCAATCTTCTGGTTACACATGACTAAATAAATAACAATCATGTTTCAGTATAACTCGCTCTAGTTAATAGATTATAGTGATGGGCATGAGTATTTTCCAGATGATTTTTTCAACCTAAAACTTTGAAGATCAGTAATCATTGTTGCAATTAAGTTTCGGTTGTATGAATACCCAATAGGTCAGATAAAATTGAAGATCAAACTGTCAAAGTCAACAGGACATTTCACTTGGATAGACCTTGTTTGTAGCAAAAACTAAAACAGGTTGATCCACAATTAAATTGGATATAATTAGTCTTGGAAAATATATTCTTTTGTTGTTTTTTATTGAATAGGAAAAAAATAAAGAAAAAGCAATGATGTGCTTCCAATCTTTGCTTGAATGAATTAAATATTAGTGTACCAACTGCTTTCTCCACGTGTTTATTTCCTCCTTTTTTTTTTTTTTTTTGGGCTTGGAAAAAAAAAACTTTAATTTGCAAAAATAGTATAGTACTCCACCTTTTATTTATTTGAAAGGGAATGAAGTAATGAAATGAAAGACTTAAAGTATGATCAACAAGAAGCAACTTGTTTCCATTATTATGACACAAACTCAGTGGACGTGGAGCAATGAGCTTCTCACATTTTGTTTCCTTTATCCATTGTTCCTCATTTGCAAAAGCTGGTAGACGAAGACACAGTGGAGGAAGATGGGAGTATCATTGGCAATTGCATTAAAAAGTCTCTTCGCCGTGTTGGGATGTTTGGCCTCAGCCGTTGTAATCTATACTGTCGTCACTGATGGCCTCCCTTTCCGCTTAGAACTCCTCACACCGTATTTTTCTTTTCTCTCCGTCTTACTAATTATTCTATTTTGAATTTCTCTTGATTGGATCATTGATGCTCCTATTTGGATAAATGGTTGTAGACTCTGCTGCATTATCTAAAAGCTTAAACTGTTTTGAAATAAATACTTTTGTTTATGTGAACATATCTTTTTAAATTCAGGAGTTCTATCTGCTCTATTACTATATTAATTCTTGGGAGCACCTTCAAGCTGTTAGAAATGACGCAGTTTTTATTTATTTAATTGCGTCTTAACTGACTTATGTTATAGTAGCATTTTTGTGAGAATAGTCAGGAGAAAAGAATTAGCTAGGCATTAAAAAAAAAAGGTAGCATGATGCACAAAGCATCTTGCAAAGACGCAGGGTCGGGGAAGGGCCGATAGCCAAGGGGTGTGATGTAGATAGCTTACCCTAATGCAAGCATTAGTGAATGCTTACACGCCTAAAACCCGTGACCTATAGGTCATACCGAGACAACTAGACATTGAGAATTTGACTTTGAAAAACAGTTTAGTTCCATCTGTTTTCTGAACAATTTGAAATTGGTGGAATGGATGTTGCAGGTGGATGGCAGCAACCTTGATAGATTTCTACATCAACATTTTTGCAATAGGGGTATGACATGATTATTTTTTAGTGCTTCTCAATGTTTACTCTCAAGTTCAATTGCTTTTTATTTGGTACAGTGCCGCTAGCATTGGACATTAAAGAGAACATGTTTGAATTTGCCTATATACGAATAGTTAAAACTCAACTAGCTTCAAAGCTAGTGCTAATATAACATGATTTGCTAGTAACTAATGTAATTGGGAATTGGAAGAAATTTAACACCAATAGAGTGAAGGCTTTCGCGTTTTTATCCATAGCCTTAGGCTGAGAATTGATCATGAACTTTAGTATGGGGCCTGGGTCAACTGTAGCATCAGGTTTTCACGTTTTTATCAATAGCCTTTAGCTGAAAACTGAAAATCTCTTTTACACTTCATTAAGAGCCTCAGACATTAGTAAAACTAGCATTTAATCCATAGCCTTAGGCTGAGATTTGAAGTTTTCTTTTGCACTAATGTATAATGTCATCCTGCAGTTTAAGCAAAACATTGATTAGGAAAATATCTAACCTGTAGTTGACTCTCTTGTCTCTTTATTTTTTGTTGGGGTGAATCTTTGAGGTCCTTTAGTTTTGAATTGCTTTGACAACACTTTTGTGATTCCAAGATATTGGTCTGAATGCATCACATATTGCTATGTTTCTCTGCTCTTATCTCCAAAAGATTTGCTCTCATGTTTTGGCATTGTGTTATCATATTAGTCCTGGGTTGCCTACAAGGAATCCAACTGGATTACTGCACTACTTTGGGCGGTCTTGCTGTTCTGTTTAGGAAGGTATGCCTACCTTGTTCCTGTATACAAAACAACTTTACCAGCAATGTACTTTTTAGTTTAGATGATGACTGTCCTTCAAGATTTCGCTAAGTATCTTTTATGAGACTGAATTCTCGGTTGCAATTTTCACATATATGAACAGTGTGACCAATCAATCAATTTATATCGAACCATGTAGATAACTTTGTTGGTATACACCCAATAAATCAATCGATCAACTATACCTCAATCCCAAATTAAGTAGGCAGCAATATGAATCCTCTACATATTCTGCTCTATTCTGGCCCATTTCATTCCAGTACTAGCATGAAATTTGTCTTGTAAGGCAAAGTTTTAGAAATTCTCTAATAATCTCCCTTATGACCCTAATGTCTGTGTAACTGCAAAAATTGATCCTCGGTCCGCACTAATTGGTATTGTTACATGGATCTCTGCTGCCATTATGTTCTCCTCCATGTGCTATTGGCATATTTCATCCCCTTTTAGCACCTTCAATCACCATCATGTTGCTCCAAGGGACTGGTGTATTTGGAGGTTGCATAAGGTATTGGCAAACTATTACAGGCGCCTTTCTCTCGTTATATCCTCTATGTGTAAGACTGCACATTTATCTTAATATCCTTTGGCATCCAGCATTCCATAAGATAAAATTTTCTTAGATTCTATTGGCAAAGAATATCTTCCTTTTCAGTTTGTATTATCCTTTTATGGCATCAGAATGCCATGGTGTTATTGCCCTTAACGGTGTTCAGACAATATTATCCATAAACGTTTATCAGTTTGTGACTATATATTCAGGGATGGTGATAACCTTTCTCTAACCCCTTCGCAGCATTACTACATGCGGCTACATTGTCTTGCAGTTCCTGAATCTTTCAACTCAAGAATCTATACAGGATCCAATTTACTTTGTTCTATTACGACGCCAGCAAAAGTAAGTTTCTGATACTTTATGTTTCTTTCTATTTGTACAAGACCTTGCAGTAAATTACATTATCAGTTCATGTGGTTGTAGGCTGTGTAATAACCTACTCTTTGCAGAAAAGAACTGTAGTAAAACTTTAACTGATACAAATAAATGTTACTTGGAGTTTGAAGCTTTCCCATCAATGTTATATCATGAGACACATCTATTTGTGTTAGTTTTCTTTCTGAAAATGAGCTTAACTTATAATGATCTGTTGAAATTTTATGATTTAGGACTGAAACAGAACAAAGGAGGAAGTGTTCTCTTTTAACTGCAAGAATTCTATCTCTTGTTTTGGGCTGTCTGATGCTAGGGACACTGATTTACACCATTGTAATTGATGGTTCTCCATTTCGCAGAGATGTTTTCACTCCGTAAGTTCTTTACTTATTCCTACTTTTAATCAGATGCCCATCAACTTTGACTATAGTCTTTCCTGGTAAAGTGGAGACTGGAATATATTTGGAGGATATTAGTTGTGACGGAGGACTTTGTCAGTACTTGAAGTATTTGTTTGTTTTCTTCTTTGAGCTAATAGCTAGATCTCCTTTGTTTTGCTTTAAATTGTTGCACTTTTAAGGGAAGTCATTGTGCTACTCTGGAGGAAAACACCTTCTCATTTATTCAATGTCTTCTATGCTCTTCAGCACCTTATATCCTTCAGGAAGTATATGTCTTTCCCGGAATGAGATTCCTAAATGAGAGAACATATTTGTTACAGTGATCTGAGGTTGGGATAAGGTTACTGTCAGTAACTTACTGAGAATGATTTGCGCTCCCAAAATGTATAAATTGTTTGTCTGATAATTTGATTGCCTTGCTCATTTTGCATGGACGAAGACTATTGATGCTATCTTACGTCATACTATCATTTAATCCTTAATAATACTATATGAACTTAAAATATCAAAACATTTGACTGGATTGATCTATGTTGAGCTTTCTCAGTTTCCCTGGAGAACATGATACTATCTTCAGTGTGAGATATGTCAGATAAGTATCTATGGAATTTCACATTCTATGATCGGTAGAGACGTGCTGTTCTGATGCTAAATTTTTAATCAGAATGTTGTATTTGTTATCCTCTTCTTTGCTTTCTAAAATTGAACTTATGAAATACTTTTGAAATGAGCTTTTTCTTCCATTACATGGATTTGCTATGTACAGGCCATTCTTAGGGCCTGGATTTAGGAAAACTGTTAGTCTAGAAAGCTGTTTTCTTCTTTGTCCCAAGAGCTGCAATCCATCATTTGCAAATTTGTTTGAAAGTTTCTTCTTGAAAGCAAACTTTGTGAGTTTGTGATGAAGTGGTACACGTGCATCCAAGGGCGGAGCTAGAGCTTCAGACGCGGGTTCGGCCGAACCCAGTAATTTTAGTTCAAACTCTGTGTTTGTCTTTAAAAATTCGTTGAATATGTATAAATTATTAATTTAGAACCCAGTAACTTAGAAGGAATAGAATCCCCAACCCAGTAGCTTCAAATCCTGGCTCCGTCTCTGTGTGCATCCCATACATTGGTCGAATATTAACTTGCTTGATATAAATCTTTCTTTGACATGCAATTTAAGAACTCAATATCCGTGCAGGTGGCTATCAGCAACACTAGTTGATTTCTATGTCAATATTGCGGCTCTCTCGGTAAGTTTTTCAATAGCCATCTTTGCTCTTAGTCTCACTGGTATTTGAAGATTGTTGATCTTATATGTGTTACACTGTTTTACCAGGTCTGGATTGCATATAAGGAATCAAGTTGGCTAAGTGCAGCTTTCTGGATAATACTATTAATTTGTTTTGGCGGGTATGCTTTTTCTGTTGGATTTATGCTGATATTAATGCATTTGCAGTTAGCTCCATTGGTATGACATCTTATTCATTACTCTATATGAGTGAGAGCAAACTATGAAGTCTCATTCATATATGGTGGAACTAGGAGTTTACGAATATGTGTTTGCATACCTTCATATGATCCTGAATAGAAGGGGTTCAATGATATTGTCGAACTAACTTACAATATCTTGCTTGTCTGACAAGAACTAAATTAAAATTCCAGCCTTTGCCTCTTGCAACAACTGCATTGACTTTATGCCCACTTTGTCGCATCAAGCTTTAAGTTTCTAGAGTTTTTCCGAAGCATGAATATATATTTCCATCAAGAGTAAGAATAGTCCAATCTAGTTTGTGTTTTCTGAGAGATTTAATACTAGTCTCCTAATTGCACTCCGACCTGCATATAATATCTTACAGCTCGAAATTATTAGATTTTTCATTTGCATTTGTCAGCATGCAAACAACCCCACTTTCCTCATTTCCTCTTGAAATATAATGTCTCTTTCAACTTCATCATCTGAATGTAAGGGTGGCTTCATTATTTTCCATTCTGGGAGAAAAATATCTGTTTTTTTTCCTTTTGTTGTCTTTCAGTCCTTTAGCTTCAATGGATACGTGTGTTCAGGTCGTGGGCATGTATTCAGTGACGAAGCAAGAAACTTCCCCAAGGGTGTTCAAATTTAAAAGAAGTAAAAAAAAATCCGATAAAGGGTGTTCAGTATGTGTTATATACCTCTAAAATATTTTACCACCCTTATAACCATGTGGCTTCGCCACTGCACGTATTAGACCTGACTCCAGATGTTATAGCAACTGCAACAGCTCGTTTTGGACTATATCTAATTCAGACGTTATGTTGATTTCCTCAGCATCAGCACATGCGCCTATATTGCTCTACAGCTTTTCAGTCTCTCATCTCAAGATCCCATCTACCTTATTCTTTTCAGCAGCAGCAACAGGCAAGTTTTTGCACCATCTGTTTAAGCGTGTTTCCCTCGTTATGATACGAGAGTTTATCTGTGCATCCTGTGAACAAGCAAATGATATTATTTCCTGCTAATTCTGCAGCGACAACAATAATACTGTAGTATTGCATTTTGAGCAAAAATCCCTCCTTGACATCCTTGTTCTAGTCAAAATTATACCATATTTACAATATTTGTTCAATCAAATAGTATTTTGCGCTTCTTAACAATTCTCTACACATTAAAAAGCATTTTTTTTTCCAAATAATTTCTTTGTTTTCTTTTTCCACCATTTTAAGAAACGTACTCACCCTGTGTTGTAGTTGTTCTTACTAGGGCAGAAAACGGGTATGAAGGAATCAACTGAGTACGAAGCTTTATGGCTAATTTGGTTTGATTTGATAGTGGAACTCTTGAGCCATTCTTATTTTTTTAACGAATACGTTAACATACTAGATTTGTAATATACATATGTTTGTGTAAACGAACCAGAATATTTTCTGTAATAATTTATTTTACTGTCTTTTGCGGACTAATATTTTGTTATATCCTTGAGCAAAATATATCCCATACACAGTAGTTATTAAATTCAAGGTCAAATATGTTCAGTTGCCACTAAAATTCGAATAAGATAATAACTCAGGCAACCTGCGAAATGCTATCTTCCCCTCTCTCTCTCTCTCTCTCTCTCTCTCTCTCTTTTGTGTGTGTGTGTGTTATGAATCGTTGAGGCCAAGAAAGATATAATTAAACACTCGGGTAAATAGAATTTTGATCTACATTAATCCAGCAACAAGTTGGAAGCCATTGTTTTACCTTTTAGACATTTTTACAAAGCACAATAGAAATCTAAAAATACATATGTTCGTTACTCAACCAATTACAAGATAGTATTGTATACATTTAGGGTGTGTTTGGTATAACTGAAAATGTTTTTCAAGAAAAGTAGTAATCTTATTCATTTTCCGGTGTTTGGTACGCAAATTAAGGAAAATGACTTCTCAAGAGTATTCATAAATAATTTAGATATAATAAACATGAAGCCATAAACTTTCAAACCAATAATCTTCCGAACCCACATTTTTCATAAACTTTCGAACCGCTAAACTTTCGAAACTGCTGAATTTCTAACCCGTAAACTTTATAATTTCTAAACCGGTAAACTTCCAAACACATAAACCTCCGAACTCATAACTTTGAAACTTGTAAAATTTTGAACCTTTAAACCGATAAAAAAAACTAAAATTGAAAAATATATTAAAAAATACTTTTTTTCGAGGGGGGGGGGGGTGGAAGTAAAAACGAAAAAAAAAAGCAAAATTTGAAATTGCAAAAAAAAAAAGGTTAATTTTTTTTGTGGGGGACGCAATTGGGGGTGGGTGGTGCAGAAAAACGAAAAACAGAAACTTGAAATTGCAATAAAAAAAATAAGGTAAAAAAATAATATTTTCTTTACAGGAGGGGGGTGGGGTGGGGTGGGATGGAGGGGTAGTAGGGTGGGTGGTAACGGAAAAACTGAAATTTGAAAAAAACCTTTTTTGGAGAGAGGGGGTGGGGTGGGTTGGTGAGGGTAGGGAAGGTTGAGAAGGAGTTTTGGAAAATGTTTTCCCTTCTCTTGATAAGGAAAACATTTTTCTCCAATTGAAGGAAAATGAGTTCATAAGGAAAATGTTTTCCAAAACATTTAAGCCAACCAACATGGAAAAATTGGAAAGCATTTTCCGAAAAATATTTTCCTTCCTACCGAACACACCCTTAGTAGATAAAGAATGTGATTCTGTCCACATTCATGATAATTGAATAGTTTTGTTTGCTCTAAATTTGGATATGTTACTCATTTTAGTTATAGCTATCCTAACATTTTTTCATGACAGTGTAGCTGAAATTAGATATGTATGTAACAATGAACTGATCCTTGCAAGGCTATTATTAACTACTTAGTCTTAAAGTACGCCCTTTGCCGTGTACCCAGGGGCGGAACCACCTTGTCGGAAGCGGTCACGTGACACCATTTCGTCGGAAAGTTTTACTATGTGTATACAGATATAAGCAAAGAGAATTATTTGTATAAAAATTATGTGACACCGCTTAAAAGGAAAATAGATTTGTGGTGGTTAAGCGCTACAGTTCTCTATTCAAGGCCAGCAGTTCGAATCCGAATGGCAGGTTTAAATTTTTTATAATTTTCGAAACTTTACTTACTAAACTATAATGATGTATTGATGTAACGACCCGACCGATCGTTTTGAGCATTTGCACTTCGCTCGCCACTTCTCGGGCATGACTAGCCCCGTATGATGTATTATGACTCATGTAAATCGTCGGTTTTGGTTTTCAGGTTAACAGGAATAGATATGGAAGAATGGTTCTCAGCTTGAAGCTTTAAATTTGAAAGGTTTGACCAAGTTTTGACTTCTTAGTATTTGATATCGGATTTGGATTTTTATGATTTAGTTAGCTCTGTTGGGCGATTTTGGACTTAGGAGCGCGTCCGGAATGGAATTTGGAGGTCTGTGATAGATTTAGGCTTGAATTGGCGAAATTAAAAATTTGGCATTTCCGGTCGGCAGTGGAAATTTTGATATTGGGGTCGGCATGGAATTCCGGAAATTGGAGTAGGTCCGTTGTATCATTTGTGGCGTGTATGCAAAATTTTAGGTCATTCGGAGGTGATTTGATAGTTTTCGGCGTTGTTTGTGGAATTGAAAGTTCTTAAGCTTGAATCCGAAGTTGATTTGGTGTTTTGGTGTTGTTTTGAGTGATTCGAATGCTCGACTAAGTTTTAATGATATTATGGGAGGTGTTGGTATGTTTGGGTTGAGGTCCCGAGGGTCTCGGATGAGTTTTGAGCGAGTCCGGGCATTACCGGAACTCAGGCAATGGTTCTGGTGCTTAAATATACCGCTGAGGCGGAAAAAGGAGCGCTGAGGCGGTCCAGGGGAGAATTCGCAGGTTCGTTGGTCCGACTTCGGAAGCCTATATCTTTTGATACAAGGAATTTTGAGATGATTCAAAATAAAAGTTGTAGCCCTTTGTGTCTAGTTTCTAGAAAGTTAAAGAAATCATAATTTGCACATCTGTAGAGAAAGTTATGGCTAAAATACTAAGGCATGTCTGTGCGGCCACCAGAAGCGCGGTCAGCGGTGATTTTCCGCGGTCAGAGGTGGTTTACCGTGGTCAGCGGTGATGGGAATCCGAGAGGTGCACTATAAATACAAGATTTGGGGTTTTATTTCATATTTTGACCTAGAGATCTCGGGCTTTGGCGATTTTTCGAGGGATTTTCAAGAAAATCATCGGGGTAAGTGATTCTAACTCAATTTTGGCTAAAATACATGATTCTAACGTTGGATTCATCATTTGAGTAGAGATTTGGGATGAAAATTTGGGAAAAAACGTGGAACTTCATAAAATGAATTTTTGGGATTTGAAAGCCGATTCGGAGTCGGAATTGAGTGAAACTAGTATGGATAGTCTCGTAATTGAATGGGTTGTCGGATTTTAAGACTTTGGTCGGATTTCGAGACGTGGGCCCGGGGCCCGTCTTTTGAGTTGACTTTTTGACTTTTGGCCTTAAGCTTAGCATTTTCTTAGGGGATTGATTCCTTTAGCTCGTGTTGATTGTATCGTATTGTTATGGCTAGATTCGGAGCATCCGGAGGCCAATTTGAGAGGCAAGGGCTTCGCGAGTTAGAGTTTGGCTTGGCTTGAGGTAAGTAATGCTTCCAAACTTGGTTCTGAGGGTTCGAAACCCCGAACTATGTGCTATATGATGGTATTGAGGTGACGCACATGCCAAGTGACGGGCGTGCGGGCGTGCACCTTGAGGAATGCGGCCTGGTTCATTCCATGGCATCGCGTAGTAACTCTTTCTTGTTGATATCCGTGTTTCTATCATGTGATTAAGTAACGGTTCTATGAATCATGCTAGACATCCTGTTAGGGCTTTACACCAATACTGTTGAGACCCGAGTGGTCGTTTCTTGATGTCATCTCACTACACTCATTGATATTCTGTACTCAGTCTTGTTCATGCATATCATATTATGTCTCCGTCTCAGTTATTATTATTTGGCATATCATATCATTGTTTCGGGCTAGTTTCATGGCATTGTTAGCCCGTGTGTATGAGACTGGAGAGTGATGATTGAGTGAGGCCGAGAGCCTGATTATGAGTGACAGTTATGGGTCGGGCTGCACGCTGCAACGGATTAATGATACGTGCCTTCGCTGGCTATGTTATGGCGCTTGGGACGTAGGAGCCCCTCCGGAGTCTGCACACCCATAGTGGGCGCGGCTGGTTATATTGAGGGATGGATCTTCCCTGGACATGGATCTTGTCCGAAGTACTTATATCTGGAGATGGATCTTCTCCACGATGCTGGATTGGCCTGTTCCTCGGTACTGGAGACGTACGGTCTGTGATGTGTATATATTCCGGGATGGATCTTCCCTGGGCCGTATGAGCCATATACAGTACTGAGTGGACGAGCATTGGGGTATTGGGCACATGAGGCACTTGGCATAGTACAGTACATATAGTATGTGCATTGGCATGTAGACGTAGCGGAGTTATACTCCTTTACCATGTTCATATCTGCTTATTTCCCTGCTATGAGTTGTTAAATTGACTGAAAGCATGCCTACGTTTTTGTACGATATTTCTGTTATCTTATGAAGAGGTTGAGTTCGTCACCACCTCTCAGTCCATAGTTTGGGATTGTTACTTACTGAGTTGGTGTAATCACGTTACCCCCTACACCTTGTGTGCAGATCCAGGTATCTTATGGTCCCAGCAACAACCATTGATCGAGGTCGCAGGTTGTGGAGTTGCTGAGGTATCTGCATGGCTTTCGCAGGCCTTGGCTCTCCTTCTCATTTCTAGTTGTATTTTTCTGTTGGTTCTTAGACACTTTAATAGACTATGTATTTACCTTAGACGCTCATGATCTTAGTGACACTGTGGTTTTGGGACGATTGTATCATAATATGAATCTTTCTTTTATGTCTTAAACGATTTGTTTCAAAATGATGAAAGTTTTCCGCAAATGATTTTTAATATCTACATTGTGGCATTGGATTGCATTGGTTTGAGGTTGGCCTAGTTCCATGATAGGCGCCATCACAACGGGTTAAATTTTGGGTCGTGACAATTAGTGAGGCTTGAACCACCGCCGACCTATAACAAAATTAAGAAGCAATAAAAATCCATTTGAGCTGGCATCCTTTTCTTGGTTGAATTGACAGTAGATACTATCAAACCATTCTGGAAAAAGACATATTTATAAGCCTATTATGGAAACATTTAAAAAATAAAAACTCACCGTAGAGGGTTGTAGTAATATTTGAATTATGTTTTTTGTATTATGATGTCATTATAGTAATTTATTCGTTTTTTTTACCTATAACAAAATGCGACACCGCTTACAAAAAGTTCTGCATACTTCATTGCGTGTACCTTATTTCAATAAGTATGACATTTAAAAAAAATCACATAAATATTATTTTACGAATTATATTTGAGATATTTATTAAAGTTAAAGGAA